ATCTCAGACCACTAATTACCCAACAAAAGGCTGCAGTTAGAATGATAACAAATTCTCACTACAGGCAGCACACTCCACCAATATTCAATACACTCAACCTACTCACCATACAAAACATCCATACTTATTACTGCACCTATTACATACATAGAACACTCAACTCTGATATTAACCCTCCCCTCAAACATCTCCTTGCCAACCTCAACAGAACACATGACCATAACACAAGGCACAGATCACTCTTTGATATTCCTCGTGTCCATCTCACGCTATGCAAAAAACTCAATGCACATAAAAGGCCTAAAATCTGGAATTCATTACCTGTTAATATAAAAGAAACACTACCTGTTTATAAATTCAAGTCTCTTCTCAAAGATCACTTACTCACCCAAAACCAAATAAATACTGAATAACTGAACCTTATAAATTGTATCCTTAAATGTTATCTCACAATATATTATCACATAAAGTTAAACCTAAAACCCAATCTAACTTTATTATTTTTAAATTCACTACCTAACAGAAATATCTCCATTCTACTGGATTTACCCCAACAATGCATACCACCGTATGACCGCTCATTGTAATAACTCACTGTGCTTTATAGTAATCATTTTACATTAATGTTTTTTCCCTGATTCTCATTGCTTAGTTAATCTTAAGTTAATGATTAAGCCAGCCCTAATGCTTATGTCATAGTATAAGTGGCTTTGGCATGCTGCCTTACTGTATTTTTTTTTTTTGTACCTCCGTACATGTGCTCAAATAATAATTAAATAAATAAATAATAAATGTGCCCACGGAATCATGTATGCATTCATGAATGTATGTATATAACTGTACATTTAGGAACGTGTTTTCCTAAAGACCTCCCGCTGTCCCCGTTCACCTAGCTGTAAATGGGTACCTGAGTGTTAGTCGACTGGTGTGGTCGCTTCCTGGGCGACACAAAAGTGACCTAATTGCCTTAAATGCTCTGCATAACAAGCGGCTTTCTATTAGTAGTATTCATTCGAGGTCGGCTAGGATGTTATACCTTATACATTATACTTGTCTAAAAAATAAAATTAGTTACATATTAAAGCACGAGGCTTGGATAACGGTGTAAGGATTCCACCTGTTCCAAGGAAGGGCGTGGTGTCTATTTGGCACTAAGACAGAGCTCAACAACTGTATATGAGACCAGACTCATCACCCTCCTATTCATGCATAAGGGGAATTATAAAATAAAAAGCCTGACTTGATAAATCCTCCCAGACAGTAACCTTGAACCTTCCCTAGCAGTGTGCGCACGTTCAGGTCAACAATAACAGTCCAGGAGGAGATTTGTCTGGGACACAACCGCGAGGTGGGTTGAGTGCGCCCCGGCAGTTACCACAGGAACCACAGATAACAGGACGTTGGTCAGAAGAAATTCCACATTTCATAACAATGGTGGAAGCTCAGGAAAGGAAATGAACGATTTAAGTTGAACGAGAGATGAAAGAAAGGGACTGATTGGTAAGCGGATTGAATGGGAGATCAAGAAAAGAATAGTATGAGGCGAGGATGAACGGAGATCAGAGCCCTAGCTGGGGCCTCCAATGAACTTCATCACAGATTAGACGACCTTATGACAGGTGTGAGCCAGACGAACACAGAGGCGTGCAAGACAGGGTTTACAGTGGCCTCGACACCAGTGGTATACAAAGGGTTCCCCCCGTCCTGTGCGTGTCCACTCCGAATTTCGTGCATGACTTAGGGAGTAACGAATCTGGCCATGTTGGGACAGCGTAGCATCGCTTTCATGAGGGAACTAGGCATGCTTCACGAGGAAGGCTATCATGCTTCACGAGGAAGCTCAGATTCTTCACGAGGAGCTAGCATGCTCATCGAAGGAGCTAGGAGATGCTTCGACAGGGAGACTACATGCTTCACGAGGAAAGCTATCATCTTTCACGAGGGAGCTAGCATGCTCACGAGGGAGCTAGCATGCTTTCACGAGGAGCTGAACATGCGTCACGAGGGAGGCTAGCATGCTCACGAGGAGCTACATGCTTCATGAAGGGAGCTAGCAGCTTCACGAGGGTGCTAGCATGATTTCACGAGGTAGCGCGAGGAAGCTTACACGAGGGAGCTAGCCATGCTTCACGAGGCGCTAAGGATGCTTCACGAGGAGCTAGAATGCTCCTACGAGGAGCATGCCATGCTTCACTATGGTGCTAGCATGCTTTCACGAGGAAGCTAACATGCTTCACGAGGGAGGGTCTAAAAGCCCTCTTTCAACGAGGGAGCTAGCATGCTCACGAGGGAAGCTAACATGCGTTCACGAGGACGCTAACAGGCTTCACGAGAATGCTAGTGATGCCTTCACGAGGTGAGCTAGCATGCTTCACGAGGGAGCTCGGAGCTCCACGAGTGGAGCTATGCATGCTTCAACGAGGAGCTAGCATCTTCACGAGGGAGGCTAGCATGCTTCATGCGAGGGCAAAGCTAGCATGCTTCACGAGGAAGCTAGCATGCTTCACGAGGAAGCTAGCATGCTTCACGAGGAAGCTAGCATGCTTCACGAGGAAGCTAGCATGCTTCACGAGGGAGCTAGATAGGCTTACACGCAGAGCTCGCATGCTTCATACGAGGAAGCTAACATGTTTCACGAGGAGTCTAGGATGCTATTCACGATGTAGCTTAGAATGCTTCACGAGGGTGCTAGCATGCTTCACGAGGGTGCTACATGCTCACGAGGGAGCTAACATGCTTCACGAGAGCTAGCATGCTGTTCACAGGAGCTAACAATGGCTTCACAGGGTAGCTAACATGCTTCACGAGGGAGCTAGCATGCTTCACGAGGGAACTAACATGCTTCACGAGGGAGCTAGCATGCTTCACGAGGGAGCTAACATGCTTCACGAGGGAGCTAACATGCTTCACGAGGGAGCTAACATGCTTCACGAGGGAACTAGCATGCTTCACGAGGAGCTACATCTTACGAGGGAACTACAGCTTCACAGGGAACACATCTTCACAGGAGCTACATCTTTTACGGGAAACACATGCTTCACGAGGAAAACTAACATGCTTCCGAGGGGGGTAGCATGTTTTCCGAGGAACAGCGCTTCACGAGGGGCTAACATCCCTTCCCCGGCTAACAGCTTCACGAGGGAACAACAAAACTTCACGAGGGAACTAGCATCTTCACAGGGACTAGCATGCTTCACGAGGGGGCTAACATGCTTCACAGGGGAACTAATGTTACAAAAGGAGCTAGCTGCTTTCCGAGGGAAACACATGCTTCCGAGGAAACTAAAATGCTTTACGAGGGAAGTAGCATGCTTCACGGGGGAAACTAGCACTTCACGAGGGGAACTAACATGCTTCACGAGGAAAAAAAAAATGCTTCACGGGGAACTAAAGCTCACGAGGGAAAAATACATCTCACGAGGGGAAATAACATGCTTCACAGGGAAAACATCTTTCCCAGGGGAACACATCTTTACGAGGGGCTAACAGCTTCACGGGGAACTAACTGCTTTACGAGGGCTAACATGCTCACGGGGAACTAACATGTTTACGAGGAACACATGCTTTACAGGGAACAAACATCTTCACGGGGAAACAACATCTTCAGGGGCTACATGCTTCAGGGGAACTAAAGCTTTACGAGGAACTACATGCTTCACGAGGGACTAACAGCTTTACAGGGGGCTAAATCTTCACGAGGGACTTGCATCTTTACGAGGGAACACAGCTTTCCCGGGGGCAGCATCCCTTTACAGGGGAGCTAGCTCTTCACGAGGAACTACATGCTTCACGAGGAAGCCATGCTTCACGAGGGAACTAACAGCTTCACGAGGGAGCACAGCTTCACGGGGAGCAACTGCTCACAGGAGCACATGTTTACGAGGGGAACAAAAATTTGCT